TCGTATTTGAAGTGTGAAGGTCACTTTGCAATATATGATAAAGTAATTTTAGACAGATAGCTATCTGTATTAGACTTTTTTTGTTCTGTAATTTTAAGTAGATCATTCTTTAAGTGCTTGCCTCATAGTTGAGTGATCTTAACTTGACGTCTGACTTAGGAAAATCCAGGTATATGTTACTCAACATTATCGTTTATTGAGTGCAACTGATCCTAATGTGCAATACAAGATATGTCTTAGGTACTGGATGAGCTTTCACACATAATTATTTTTATTAAAGTGGTTTTATACATTTAGGAAGCACCAATCATGCAGATGTATACGAGCATGTGCCGGAAAACTTATAAGCGTAATTTCCTAGACAAGTTCCTTCATACCTAGGAAAAATAAATAAAATAGTAATGACCAACTCATCACGTTACTCGATAGTATTTTGATTAACAAGTTGATCCAGAATGCGGTTCACAGAGTAACTCTCGTTAACTAGCAAACAGGTTGGATCACTGATTACTCATGAGAACGCGGTTTAACTCGACCATAACAGAACTTTAACTCTAATGCTCCAGTTAGATATCATTTGCATACATTTTGTACTTGCGTCTAAGAATTTGATAAAATAATAGTAAGAGATGTGGTAAGAAGATTATTTATCTTTATAACTGTTACTTCAACAGAATTCACAATACTTTTGTAAAATCAAACTGCTGTAATAACTTCATGAATTTAAAACTATAAGACATATTTCATCTGGCCTTTTACTTAGTTAATTTATACCTAAACAATAGCTTGTAGGGACACAGTAATTAAAACAACATAACATGTGTAATTACAATGAAATGATTAAATGAAAATGTTCATTCTCTTATAGACGTAACAAAAGATTACAAGATAAGTAACATGCTAATCATTTACCACGTAACATGGGATGACACATTGTTCACACGACAATTATTTTTTAAAAGCGGAGAAATTTAGAAGAAAATCTTCTTCATAATGAGTCATTTATTTAGCCTGTTTATCCGAGACTTTTATTATACTACCAATCACACGGATCGCAAAATAATATGAAAATGACTCGACACCAACACCTGACGATTGACAAGTAACAATATTGAATACCAAACTTACATAACGGATAGATTTAAAAGTAAAATACGCAACGCATTGATCGGTGAAGATGTTTATTTGTTTATCATATCTAGTAGCCAGTACCTTCTACATTAATACAAATTGTATGGCAAATGTCAAAGAACATTCAGTCAATCAAGAAATTAACGTTTGGAAAGGGTACGGGGCTAGTGAAAACAATCATTACTCGTGAGAATAAGATGTTTTATTAGGCACAGATGTGCTTTCGACGCGCGACCGAATTAACATAAGATACGACTCAAGATAAGTAATAGTTAGATAATATATCTACCGCGCCGCGGCTCTGTCTCTGATTTTATCTCACTTTGTGTTTGGATAATTTTAATAGTTACAATGCGATTGTATCAAATTTTTCACACGTTAAACTACGTTGAATAACACCATCAATCATTTTATTCAAAATCTTCAATGACTCAAAGATAACACAAGTATGAAGTTTAAGGAAAGGTCTACCTACAACATAAGTAAAGGTACATAAATATGTCACCGTTTACATAATAAGTGACACTTGAAATCATCATGTGGTTGTCAACTCAAGCTTTATAGTGAAGCTTTTTGTTGACTATGTATCGACATTCTGTGTCAAGTGGAAAACTATTTACATTCTCAACATTTAGACGAAGAAAGTCTTCGGGAAATGCATTGTTATTACCTATGAAGTTTACATATCTAAGTATTGTGTCCTGTGTGTGCATCTATGACTTAAGAATATGTTGTAAAGATGAAAATCTTTGCATCTAAGTAAATCTGCCTGTAAACTGTCAAAGATATCTCAAAGTTCTTCAATTGTCACTGGTCATTTTAGGCTGCTGGGTCAAATTATAAACAGTAAGACAGAAAAACTCCTTTTCTATATATTCATCATTCTTTCTCGGTAACTTTTACACGGTACTTACGCAAGCAATTGGTATTTTTATTGATACGCGCTTAAAATTACGAAAATGTTCATTCGTTGGTCTTATTAATGTTGATCTATTATAGGTAGATATCAATCTATTTTGAGACTTCCTGTTTTACCGGTCTCTCGCTGCTCAGAAATATTGAAGATGAACTTATTTCATTAATGGGATAATAAAATTTAATAGATAGTTATGAACTCCACTTACGAGTAACCGACGAGTGAAAATTAGGTGCAAGGGCTACGTGATACTGATTATGTATTATTATATTAATACGTGATGCAAGAACTTTGTACCCTTTGTTGTTAATATTTAAAATTGAGAAATTAATGAAAACAATGAAGACGGTCAATAAAATATTACAAACACACAAATGTACATACAAACGGAAATTTAAAGTGTTATAGAAAAGTAAATTGTTTTTGGTTGGTTCTCGACCTTCTTTTAAACTGTCAAACACCAAGCGGTCACCGGTGACCGCGACCTATTGTTCTTTAATTGTGTCTATAAAACCGGTACTCGACGAGTTAAAACTACTGGATGTGCTGATGTACCTGACTACATTTAACACTGGTCAGATAGTCAGGTGATTCTATACAACCTAATAAGCGTTTAATCGGTCTCGATAACGTAACGTGGGACCATTTAACCAGTTTGTATTAGATAAAGCATCCAATACGGACGTCAGAATGTAGGTCGAATAGCCGGCCTAACTCGAATAAGCCTGGTAACTGTTGGACCTGCAGTCTATCACTTCTATGTTGCGTTACTCATATCTATGGGCCCTGTCACTTACACCTTCTAAAATTTCATTATTGACCAAGAAGACTTTCATTCTAAACTGCCTGTCTTCTTTAAAAAGTCTACTGTCTTCTTTCTCTTTAAAAAGTTACAATTGCGATTATTTTGATTCGATTCTAAATTCAATCTTCGTAGTGAAGTAAATCTTCAATTGTGCCTGATGTATGCTAATAAGGTAAAGTTCTCTCCCTATTACATAAAACCATAAAATATAACTGACTGATATCTACCGGGTTAGGTAGAGGTGAGAAGGTGACTAGGGAAGCAATATTAAGTATTTTACATAAACAAAAGTGCTTGTTTTTGTGAGAGTAGTGCTTGAAGATGGCCTTCGGATCCTAGATTGCAATGACCATGAATGAAGCATTAACCTTCGCCAATATGTTTGTATATATTGCTAAATCTTTTGATTTAAGAAATAGACTTAATCGTCTGGCTTTATGGGTGTATCTGACTCATCGGCCTAGTCAGAGGTAGACTGGGTTTTTCGCTATGGAAACTGGAAATGTTACCTCATTGTATTTGTGCCTTGTGTACCTACGATAGTAGGGCAATTACCCTAGCTTTTTTAACACTCTTATTGTGAAAATTATCTATTTTTATAGATTGCAACCTGCATCTGACCATCTGCAAATCTTTGCGGCTCTAGACAATTGATGATAGTTTCGTAAGTTCTTAAACGGACCTTAAGCGGGAACCTACCTGTCATCAATTAGGTATATGGACAGTAAAAGTTACGTCGCCTATTGTCGGCGTGACCGTGTGACCATAAAATTCAAATTTATTATCTCCACCTGTATAATTATTTGCTAAACTACGCTTTTGCCAAGTTACCACATACCTAGTCAACGATCAATATACATAATTTAATACGCATGTACCTACGTCTATTTAAACATTGGTTGCGAAATTACGTCTTTTTTTTATTTTCGGGAACCGGTTTTCACCAATACATAATTGAAATTAAATGTTTGTGCGAATTGCCTAATTTTCACGTTAGAATACGAATTTAAAAAGACATACATATATATTTCTAACATTGAGATTAGTGTGTCGAAAGACCTCAAAGTAAATAAAATAGTGAATGTTACGATGTTCGTCAAAAGGTGATAATTACGTCAGGTAACAATTTATTTGTCAAGTTGTTTGTACATGTAGCAATTAAAGTGAATGAGGAGACATCAGTTGAAACTTACTTGTGTTGATAAACAAAAGACCTTTAAACTAACAAGCAATTAATTTTATGACACTGTCGTAAATCAACGCTTTACAAACTAATCTTTGGAACAAGTTGAAAACGGAAATTATAAACTTTAGTTAATGGCGGAATAATTAGTTATCTGTTAAGTGGTAGTGGCCCTTCACCTTAGTGCATTTTCATGGTTACGTTATGTTCGTTTTTATACATAAATCTAGGTATTTAAAATGAATTGGCACCCGATAAACTAAAAATGCTACATAAATATATTTCAGACTTTCCATGCCTGAATTTCCGCCACGTTGATACATCGCCCGCATGAAGCATGACCTATTTAATGTCCAATACCATTAAAATGTTCTTTTAAATAAAACATTATGTCTTAAAACATTACGCGAAGCTAAATGTATAGCTAATGCATTTAGAAGAAAGCGTCTTAGGTTTTAACTTGTAACCTAAGTTGTAACCTAAAGTTCGGCATTCAGAGTTCATTCACCTTGCAGAGCAGGATGAACTTTTAACCAAATTAAAGCTATTGAATACCAATATTTTAATTGTTTTTCTTGCCACTTATCTAAATGAATATATAGAACAAGAAATAAAGAATTATTGTTATGTTAAAATATTTATTTGTAACATTTTAATATACCTATTTTAATAGAAAAAATATCATTGAATTTAAACGAATTCATGTTTATTTATCTAACGGCGTAGGTACCTAAATTGTGCAAAAAATTAAAATTCGACTTAACGTTAATTCATTCAAAATTCAAATTAAATGATGTCAGATATCACTCATGTGTAGAGATGAAACATTTGATGTCGCTGTTATTCATAATTAACGGAGATTATGGCTCATAAGTATTACTCATGTATTTCTAAACAGCTATAAAATAGCACATAGGTATTTAAATTCTGCCGTAAAATGTATGAAAGTGGATTTGTGAACTTACCACATCGCTGAATGGTGAGATCAAGTTGCTGATGTTAAACGCTAGGGCTTCGGTCACCAGCAGCAGATGGACCACAGCCAACCACATCGTGGTAACATCACGTAACACTACCACCACACAACACTGCCACTACACCCGATTTTATTACAATTTAATTAAACATTCATGCTTGCATTTTTAAATAAAAACCTAATCAACAAAATTCCATTTTTAAAATTTATTAGACCATAAATAAAATTATAGATGTGAGTTTTACTTTTTTTTATTTTGTTTTTCGTACGCGTCTGGACGCGTGCGGAGTTTGGCGGGAAAATGTGGGCGCATGCGCGGCGGCGCACCGCGCGCCTCATATTGCACAATAGATAAAACGTGAGGCCGACCTTAGAACTTGTCCCCTAGAAGGCAGAAGTTCGCCGAGGATATCGCAAGGATTGTCTAATGTAGAGCACCTGTGGTAGGGAGAATCTGTTAGTGTTTCACTTGTTTATGGATATTAGGTAATTAGATCTAAGTTTGTAACAGTTTACTACGAAGTCTACGAACTTACTGATACTCACGGAGCAATTCAAATATTCCAATTATAATTCATTGATGCTGATTAATAAAATAAGCTTATTTAACTGGTAAGAATATTTTTTTCAGGTAGGTATACCTACTTAGGTAAATAATAATTTTCACGACTTTTCCTCACTTCAAACTACCTTCGATTTAGGCAGATGCAACTTAAAGCATGTTGTTAGATATCTGACGAAGGTTATCAACATTTTCATGTAAGCTTTACACACACAAACTTAATTAGCTAATATTAACTATTTAGGCTGTCTAGTGATTGCTAGTGAAAGGAAGAATTTGTAAGTAATAAATGATTAGGCTGGTATGAGTACCTACAAGTCTAGCCTACTTGATCACTGCAAGGTTCTCAACTTTTTGTAGGAAATTTTTTAGACAAGGTTTTTGCACAATTTCTAGGTAATCAATGCTTGTAATGCGTGTTAGAGTATACGATCTAACAAGACAGCTGCATTCATCTTAGGACTAGTATAAAATTAACTACAAAATATTATTAGACAAAGTAAACATAATATAAGTACGATGTAATAAAAATGTTTTATTACTGTACAACAACGGACAGGTTTTCCGGTCACACGGCTTTAAAAAAATTAAGTACTGCCAATGAAATTCGCAAGTACCAATGAGAATAGAGAGCGGAAATTTTAAATGTAACTAAAACGATGTGAATAATATCCCTAATTAGTCTTGTCAATTACATATATTATTATAGCCCATGTACCTAATTTACATAAAAGTGAAAATTTTGTTACATTAATTTCTCTAGTAATTAGATAACTAGAAAAGTTGAAAATACTTATAAGTGCGTAAAACCTCCTTGGGTCCTCCTTGGAATTTTTTCATTTGTATCTTGACGCTTATTAAAGGAGGTATGGTATTTAATTTACCCATTTGCAAGGTATATGGGTATATCTATTAGCCTATTACATAATCCTACTTGGCAGTTGTTGCTCATAATTGAGAAAAATGCAAAAAATAAGAACATACTTTTTATATTCAGAGTCGCGGAGAACCTAACGCGTTACCGGGGCACCGGCTCGACGTGCAGGAGTAGGAACGGGGTGGTTTTTAGTCAGTAAGAGTCTGACACTCCCTCACGCCTCACCCAGGCGGGAGCAGTAATTAGATGATTTTCCCCTAAAAAAAATACTTTTTATATACATAAGTAAGATAGGAGGTTTTAAACATGCACCCACTTCATCAACTGCAATATCTGCATGTACCTATGTACCAACTTTGTTCAAAATTTATGGGAGCGCACAATTACCCATTATACGCGCTCTAGTATTACTTAGGTACTAACAATTTCGTATTATTAGGTGTAAAATAGTAAGTTAACTGTGAGCGCGAAACCAGTTCGAAATTCAAATATAATCATGGATTACTTGAGCCCTGAGCCAACCAACCAGTCTGTAATTCTACACTAAGCCTACTTATGTCTATGGTTTCCGTGCATAAATAGGTCCCTCGGAAAAAGGATGGCTTTCCGTGTTTGCAGAAGGCGGTCTGGGATATTTATTTTCGAAATTACTAGGTAACGCGGGATAAGTCGCTGGTTAGTTATTCAATAAATAGGATGTACATGTCTTGGTGGATAATTCTGTAATCATAACATGTGAAACTCAAGAGTAATGCTTCATTCAAGCGAAGCCGGACATATCACGGATTCTTGTGTATCTATTCGTTAACCTAATCAATCTGTGGATCATTTAATTGATTACTTGCGTCATTAGAATTTACATTTCATTATACTTAAGTAGGTGATGAAAGTTAGACATTTTTATTCTAAAACTTGGCCATGAAACTAACGTCAGTTCGCTTGCTCCATTAACCGGAGCTACTTTTGGAAATTTCCATTGACTCAGACTATTCAGGCTCCAATCCAATCTAATCGATATCGATGACACTATTTTTCCAAGGATTTATTTAGGTAATCCATTGCAAAAAAAAATTCGCAATAGCGGATTTTTAGAGTATACCTAAGGAATGGAGTAAATATTTCTTAGCATGCGTGATATTTAAAACTCTCCCAGAAATATTATTAAGGTGTACAACAATAATAGGACTAAAAATAAGCTATTAAAGTGCTTCCAAGAAATCGGTGCTATATTATAATCCTAATGCATGTATTGAAATTCCTACTAAAATAATTATGTTTTTCACGAAATAAAAAATACGAGAGATGAGAAAATTACGTGATGTAAAAAGTAGAGCTAAATAGGTAAATATTAAGTATTTCGCGATATTCAAAAAACAAGTTAACATTAGAAAGTTCAAAGCCACTTCCTTTTCTTTACCCAACTAATTACTGATGTCTACTCGCCTAGGACTATTGACACGACATGACGAAATCATATATTTTGAGGTTTTTGGCAAACTACAAGCAACCAGCTTACATAGACATCGACACATGGTAATTATTTCCGCCGCGTTAGATAAAATGTTGTTGCCCAATCAAATTGAATACACGGATTTTTGTAAACACGTATTAAAAATGTCTGTCCATAAATTACTCTGTCAATTTTTAACAATAAACAAATTGAATGCTAAGCTGGCAGGCAATAAATTTGTATTACGTGTTTGGTCAACGGCTAGGCTGACTATGATAACGCCTTTAGATCGTCGCAATACATGCGTTTATAGTAGTATAAAAAGTATGGAAAGCGCACGATACATTTTTGAATAAAGTATTATGCCCCTTAACTTATAACATCGCAGCTTTTAATCTAAAGAGGAATAGGCAGAAGTTGCACATACATCCATGTATACAGTGTAACATCCACTGTTCGATAGATATGTTTTTAATAAGTTCAATATGATAAGAGTCAAGCTCGTTGCCATATACCAACCACAATAATCAACTTAAGTGAAGTGGAGTGTCTGATGTGCTGTCATCTGTACCTACGATGTACATATGTACCTCTGCTTTCTTATGAAACCACTAAATACTCTACCAAAAATGCCGTGTGTACCAACACTGAATCACAAGAGTGTCACACTTTATATCTGTCTTGATCGCAGCACGTGCAGTACGTGCATTGACTCACCAAATATTTGTCTAAACTAGGACGTGTAACCATTTCATTGTAAGGAAAATTCTTGAAGGCAATAAAGTAGGTGAGCCTTCTTGCAAATAATAAGACGTCCACCTAATAATGTAATCAGATTTATTTATGAAAGAAATTTTATCTTCGAATCTTTTATCGAATATTTTTCCAGAGAAGCTAAGTACTTATGTTTTGAATAGTGATGTAGGATATAAAAAATAACAAGCTCTCTAAGGTTTTCAGGTATTGCACTAGAACAATACCTGAACTACAGTGGTTAGAGGCGCCCCTAATCAACCAAAAATTGACATCAGCTCATTTCTGATGCTACTTCTTCGACGTCTATAAATATTTAAAAGAAGAAACCAATTTATATAGGGTTGATGTTTAGCATACCGGATAACAGTGCTCGGTGAGCTCGGTCAAGTCATGTCGAGGACATTATGCGGATGGGTGTACGTTATGCAAACATTATGTCACTTAACGGATTTATGGTCGCCTTTACAACTAACTCAGGCACTAGTTTGCATACTTTATTTAATGACACGATTGAGGCGACATGGTTGAGTCATTCCCTGTATTCGACGATTCAGTTTTAATTAATGTCCTACCAAAAAATCCTACTGCTTCGACTGCCTCGTTGGCCGAATGGGGTCTCGGGTTCGATTCCCGGGTCGGGCAAAGTATTACTGGGTTTTTAAAAATCTCATTAGTAGCACGTAGTCTGGAAATGTGCCCAGTATATGGTAATAGGCTCACCCCCTATTACATGGGACTCATAACATAAATAGTGAAAAGTGGTTGTCCCTGTTACATTGTACAGTGGCATTTAGTGCCGTAATGTGCACCTTTGCCTACCCCTTCGGGGATAAAACGCGTGATGTTATGTGTGTGTTTATGTGCAAAAAATCCTACCTCCGTCCAACCTAATATTATAGGCTGTTAATTATTTAGTTCTATGTCTACATAAAACTTGGTGCATTGATGGATGCATTTAAAACAGTTGTAATATTATAACTTACTCCCTTTCAATGCATATGCGTTCGTAACAAGGATCCTATACAAGGAATGTAAAAGTTATGATTGTTGGGCCTTCTGCATACCAAGCCCTTTTCATGCACAGTCCATGATAAGGCCAATGGCACTCGTTAGTAGATGGCATAACATTTTACACTTATGGAAATAGATATATGCATCCTATACTTATAGTAGGTCGCGGAGAACAACGGGTTACCGGGGCTCCGGCTCGACGTGCAGGAGAAGGAACGGGGTGGTTTTTAGTTAGTAAGAGTCTGACACTCCCTTCCGCCTCACCCAGGCGGGAGCAGTCATTCGATGATTTTCTGCCCTTAAAAAAAATCCTTATAGTAGAGTTTAACTAAATATACATATATTAGATGTTACCTTAGACTAAAAATTATGAACTGATAAGTTATGAAGTAAAAAATGAATCATAATAAGAAAAAATTGCCGTCCAGCAATTAATATAATTTCCTGCAATATTAACTGGATTCCGAATGAGAAAAAGGGCATTTAATGACAAACAACGGTCGTGGCAGTAATTAATACATGACATAAGTGTTCCATCGATCAGTTTCGCAATATATTACGCCATTAGAAAGCAGCTGCCACGCTGGACAAGGTTCCTAGTGGCATACCTTTAAAAGACCTAAAGAGTTTGCACAGAGACGCACTCAATTTCATGAAAAAAAAAATTAACAACATTGCTGAAAAGTAGTTCTGTCTATGGACAGCGTAGCGTGATAGATATTGTGTGGACTGAGGAGAGACCTTGAAAATATATACATATACATATGTTTGCCTTGGAAAAAGTCCATTCAAAAGCATCAAGGACGTAAGTCGGTGAAGACTTACTTACTTTCGAAATAAAATCAATTTTTGATTTATTCACATTTCGTGCAAATCAATTAAAATGCTACATTAAATTAAGTAAATAGCTATGAAGCTTGCTCAACAATCAAATTGCAAGGCATTGAAGACGAACATTTAAATTACCTATTTGAATAATAATAACAGCTTTAAGATTTCATAAGTCACAATCGCAAAAGATCACATACGAATAATTGTGAAATGAATTGATATTATCAAATTATGAACTGGTGTCAAAAGGGCAACCATCCAATTACATAATTAGCGAATCAGACGCGTAATGATAAATGACATTATTACGATTCTAAGTAGTGATAGCAGTTAAATGTAATTTGTTAGACAAAAAGTATTTTCAAATTATGTTTAGCATTTTATTAGATAGGTATACAAATGTTGTATGTTGGTATTAAACATTGCTTTCGATCGCGTACAAAGGCATATTAATGTTGATAAGGCGAATGGCACTAACGAAAACTATTTACGATGAGTAGGTTGGCACAGTAGCTGGCAATCGGCTGCTGTGCATCATGTCAGCGGATTCGATTCCCGCAGGGAACAACTCTTATCTCTTATGATCTATATCAACACTTTTTGGACCAAAGAAACTGTTTAAAGTCAGTGTTCTAATTAATACTTTAGTCCCTAATATACCTATCTACTTTAGTCACGCTACCGTACCAGTAATAGTGTCCTCCAGCCGTCCCTGACTCGTCGGTTAACATTCGCGCCACGGCCTTGCGTGTGAAGAATCCACGCATTCATTTTGTTCGGAAATCATTTGACATATCTAGGTTACATGTGGTTCATTATTTGATTTTTGTTACAAAATTTCAGACTGAAAGGGTAATGGTAGGTACTTCCTCTTACCGTCTGTCAACTATTGCGAATCCAAACCAACACCACTTTGATGATGTATTACAGATTGCAGCGCTGACATAGACAGGCAACTCATAAATTAAGTATACTAGCATCATAATAAGTGACTGAGCATCATGATAGTCTGTACTTGTTTACTTATGTATTTTTTTTAAAAACCTGTCCCCTCACTAGGATTTTCTCCTGTTCTGGGTGTTTTTACCTGATTTAACCTACACAATAGCCTAAACAACTAATTATTATTGTGAATCACACAACCAGTTGTTCCGTACTGTAATCGAACCTGCGACACGTTGCACAGCAGACAGTTGCCCAACCACTGCGCTAACCGTGTATTAAGTAGATGATCATGAGTGTGCTGATACGAAAAACGACAAACCCTAAAACCTTTTAACTAAAGTACCAAAGTACTCTCATCAATGGTTGTTTTATGTCACTCTATGTGATTCGTAGGTATTGTCGGCAATGTATTCTTCTGGCCACTCCTCAGATCAATACAAGAGTTGTCACTGCATTGTAACGAAATTGTACTCCACACCGCATATTGTCGTTCAACATTTCACACAAGTTCGCATAACAAACAACGTAGTATAATCTTTTTTATTTAAATTTTTCGTTCTTCATACTTAGATAAACCGTTTCGTAGTAAAAGAGTTTCCGAACTGAAAAGAATGACGTCAACTGTCATTGTTAAGATGTGTCATAGATGCTAATGTCATTGGTGTCTTATATTTTGCATAGAATTTTCAGTTTTCTAAACTAAAAAACGTATATAAAATGGCTTATTTAACTCAGCCAGACTACGTAAAGTATATATGTTCCTGCGGACAACTAAAACCTATTACTAGTTTATATTTCTGTCGGCATTGCTTAAAAATACGTTGCGGTTTCTGCATTTGTCATGAGGTAACCCACTTTTTTATGTTTTACTGCATAAATATTTATAAAATTTGCAAATTCAGATTGGGCCTATGATTAACACATCTGGGTTAACATATATTAAACATGACATAAGTATAAAACTAGAAGAATTATTAAAATTAATTCTGTTGTTTTTAATCTAGACACACCTTGTTTTATCTTTATTTAGATCAGGAATATGTAATTATTTTGTAATAACTTGATGTTGACAGAAAGCTCTGGTTGTAGTTGTTTGGCTATGAAACGAAATTAATGTTTTGTCTATTTGGTAAAAGTGAATAATACATGAAAACTCATTGTCATTGATTCACATCCGACTCAATTTTAGAAAAATAAATTTTACATTTTATGAGAAACTGAAACTGATACTAAAGGGAAATAAGAATTCTTCTTATTAATTCTTATTTTGCTTTAGTATCACACTGACCTAGACTTTTTCTTTTAACATTTCTAATACAATCCCATAAGAATCTTATAAGCTTAAACTGTCAAATACAGCGAGGACACCGGTAACCTGTAACCAAAGGGTTAACTAGGAATTCAAAGCCCTACAAAAGCTTACTAAAGTGTTATATCAAGAAAACCCACTAAGACTAACATTCTGTCTCAGGTGGACTCACACTACTGTGCTAACTGCTTGGAGAACATGCCATCATCAGAAGCTCGACTCAAGAAGAACAGATGCAGCAGTTGTTTTGACTGTCCCAGCTGTTTCCACACATTGTCCACTCGGGCTACAATGGCTCAGCCTCGGCAGGTCGTGCAAGACCCTGCAGCGGGTGGAGACACCAAAGTTGAAAGCAAGCAGCCTAAGAAGATGTACTACTTGTCCTGCTTCAACTGCAGGTGGACTTCCAGAGATGTTGGAATACCAGATCAGCCTGTTGGTAAGTTATTAATAATACTTATAAATTTTACTAAAACTATCCTGCATTTTGCTTTTGTGTTTAAACTTTCTAAGTTTTCAGCATTTTCTTAAAATTGTCTTTTACATCTTTGACTAAAATGTTAATTTAACTAAAATGCAAGTTCTCAATTAATTTGAATCAATTTACAATTACTATTTACAATAAAACTTGAAGCATAATATGTAAATATTTGTCCAGCGTCAGGTGGTTGGCCGGAGCGTACGAATCCGCACGCAGCGCGCGTCAACCAACTGCTGGAATATTACAAGGCGATCGCATTGCAGGAGAAACAAGAGAAGATTGAAAGAGAGAGAAAGAAATTCAACATTAGAGGCAAATATATCACTCTTACTGTAAGTGGATCACAGTATTTTAAAACAATGTAGTATTTTGTACTCTAACTAAAGTACTTATGTTATACATACACACAAATGCTTGAACACTTAAATGTGCAAGCATTTCACCAGTCATGTTATAGTAGATACCAGGTGCGTAAGTATGAAACCGAAATTGTACTGAAAAAACACGTTTATTGTAATGATATGATACAAAGTAACTTATTCAAAGTATTGTCTGTCGCTATCTATACATTTTTCCCATTTTTTCTGGAAACTTGTTATTATGAGTTGGAAATCTTTGTCGGCTACCAATACACTAATGAGACACCGCAGATGTGATGTATCGATAACTGCATCACCATCTAGCACCATCTATAAGCAAATTCTGGTTTCATACTTACGCACCTCGTAGATAGAAGGTAAACTTATTGCCACACAGCAAGTAGTATATATTTGTTTTTGTATAACACAGTAATTTATTATGTGTGTACTGAACTGTATAATTCATTATTTATAATTAAGACAAATCAGAATAAATGTTATTGATGTAAATTAAACAAGTAATTAGTAATAACGAAATATTATTGATTTATAGTTTCAGTTTTTAGTAAATAAATATAAAATAACTTTTCAAGTATTAGTTAAAGTCAATGTTTCAATGCTCAATAACTTAAGAAACCCTCTTAAAAAGCAATAACGATAGCAATAATCTGTCTTTGTAGGACAAGACAGGTTTGACGGGTGCGATGGCACGCAACATAGCTGGCCTGCCGTCAAGTGAGAGTTCGTCGTCGGCCATCGCGAGCTTCGTGCCCAGTCAGGCTAAGGAGGAGGTTGAGGAGTTACCTGAGGATATATTCACCAAAGAGGTCAATCTGAATCAAAGTTAGTATTCCATTGTTCGTTAATTACGTTTTTTTTGAATGGGTGAATGAATTTTTTGTAGGATGTATTAGCAGACGGATCACCGGATCGTAAATTTACCCTTGTGGGTAACGGCATCCGATAACATGACTCACACCACACACACTAAAGCTAAACACAACGTAAGCATTGATTCACGCCGGTTTCCTAAGCTGTGCTGAAGTTGGTCTTTCCCGTTTGGAGCATAGCTCTCCCATTTAGGTATGTTATGTGTAAAAAGTAAAGTAAAAATAAATAATACCTATAAGAGGATTTATTTAAACTAATTTGAATAGTCAAAAATGTTGTTTGCTAATTGTAGTAACGAGCATGCCCCAGCGCCTGGCGTCCCCCGAGTGGCAGCCCCCGTCGGTGTCCCGGCTGCACCCGCTGGCCAAGTTGCTGAGCGTCAAGCGCAGTCAGCGCTGCCGGGCCTGCGACCATAACCTCACCAAGCCGGAGTACAACCCTGGATCTATCAAGTTCAAGATTGAACTACTGGCATAGTAAGTCTACTGAAATTTACATATTATTAAGTGCCAGGTTCATGACGAACTCAAGGTTTTGGTACCGGTATATTTACCTAAGAACTGCACAAAATTTCACTTTGAATTTGAAAAAAACAAGGTTTGAATTGTGATCAGAATATTTTAAGTTCATAAACAAACTGCTTAGCCTAATAATTTAATAATTTAGGAAAGTTTGAAGTTTGAACGCATTCTAAGTTATGTATAATTAATGACAAATCGATTCTCGGGTTTTCTGACTTAATATTTCAGTAAAGAATGTAGGATAGATAACATGCTCACATCAGGCGTTTTGGCAGGCCTCACGAGTAAATGTGTAAAGATAAATTACGAAACCTCTAAATTAAATTAAATTACAACAAGAACCCAAAAACTTTAATGAAAACCCTTTATACTTCCAGCTACCATGTACCAGAAGTGAAGATAATCTCCCACGAGCCCGTCAAACCAGGTGGTAAGTCAGCCCTACTTCTAAAGCTGACCAACCCGACTGGACATGAGATGCAGCTGCGACTGCTGCAGCCCGAAGATATTCCACCTCCTGAGGAGAAGGAGGAACCCAAGAGTATCGAGAAGTCGCTCGAACGATCACTTAACTTAGAGAAGGTGAGTTCTGGAGATAGTTTTTAGAATTTGGTAAATAATGAACTTTAACACAACAGCATAAAGTTGAAACTCGTTCGTTCAAGTAATTTGAAAGAGTTTGTTTTAAACTGTCAAACACCGCGAGGACTCCGGTGACCGCAACCTATTGTTCTTTAATTTTTAATTGTGTCTATAATGACGGTATTCAAAGGGTTAAGTACTAGTTTCTGTAATGAAACTTATAATTAAAATACAAATAAATAACATGTTGTATTGGAATATAATACAATTGTGTAATGGTAGTAGTTAGTGGATCAAATAAATAATTAAAAAAAGATGACAGAAGACTTCAACTCCGAGATACCTACGTAAAAACTTTTCATACACAAGTTAGTTTTCTTGACTACCGAAAGGTGGAAATATCCCTTGAGGACTAATGTTTATGATTCCGCCAGGACACGAGCTCCCTGAAGCCGATGGAAGTGGTATGCTCGCCGACGGCGACGAGCCGCGTGCGCGCGCCGGACGCGACGCTGACGCTGGCGCAGCGCGACGACGCCGCCGAGTACGACGACGACGCGCAACATGACACGAACGAGTGAGTACACACACAGGATACTCGTGGCGTGGTGGCTCGGAGGTTTAAGACGCCTGCTTCTCATGCATGAGGGTGCGGGTTCGAAACCTACCAACGGCAAGTACCAATGTGACTTTTTCCGAGTTATATATACTTTCTCAGATTATTTAGACACCACTGACAAACGGTGAAGGAAAAACATCGTGAGGAAACCTGGACTTATAATTTCTAATTATAAGTTTGAAATCGCCAACCCACATTGAGCAAGCTTGGTGATTAATGCTCTAACCTTCTCCGTGTGAGAAGAGGCTTTGCTCAGCAGTGGGCAATTATAGGCTGTTGATGATGATACTCGTGGCGAGGGACTCTCTGATGCAACATTTTAATATTAAAAACTATGATTTGGGATTCTTTTCTACTATTTTGTCTGAACCTTTAAGCAATGCAGCACGATCTATTGTAATGATGTTGCAACAGTGTGACCCGCTGGTATTTGATATTTTTAATTAATTGAAAATGTTTTTAGATAGATAAGTTTGGGTTACGATGGGGCTGACGTAGACTGTTGGTTAACCTTTTGAACGCCAGAGCAAAAACGCATGAACTTGCCCTCAACGCCAGGCCACAAATTCACCGCAAATACCTACGAAAAAAATAGGGATTCCAAAACTTCATCGATAATCAATTTTATTTTCATTTTCGTCTTTAATTTCGAAATATAATGTCCTTATAACATTGAAATTTAATTCAACATTACTTTTCTTCCTATTAAAGTAATAGTTATACACTATTTACGGGGTGCGGTGCCAGAAGACCTCCCCGTGGTGCACCCTGGGTGCGGGCGACAGTCTCCCTAGCGGGGGTGATAGGGTTGGAGTGACTGTCGCCCGCAGCAGACTTCTGGACTGGGTGGGCGAACCCGATAGGGTTCTGGAGGCGGCGGGCTGTGTGCGGAGGCTCATAGCCCGCGCTTCCGAGGGGCGTTTCTCCGCCCGTCTCTCTGGACATAGCAGAGAGCGTGGCGGAGAGGCAATGGCGGTGCTCGTTGTGCACTCACCCTGCCAGCGAGCAGCATCGGGACACAAGCTGTCCCCGATTGCAGCCGTCGATATCGTAACCCGTAAGGAGGTCACGGTCATGTTTTGTGACTCTGAACGGGACGAGGGTCTTGGCTTGGTCGCCCGGACCGCGAGGAAGATAACCTCTATAAAAAATTCCTCCAATACTAAGTTCTGGTGCGCGGCGAGAGTATGCATGGCTGAGGAGTAGTGTCAGTCGCGAGCGCACCCCCAGCTAGGGGACCAGTGGAACCTCTAGTTGGGAAACAAATGAACACTTACCCAGGTACAGGGGGCACTGCCTGGGTGGACCGAATATTTCCCCCATACTCGTGGGAACTGTATGGAGAAAGTAAAATCTAAAAAAACAAAACCACAACTGTCGGAGGAGGAGAGTGCGGGTGAGCTTGGCTCACCTGCAGACGTAGTAGAGGGGAGCCCAAGGGGCTCTGGCGCCCGTGGGGAGACGCTGGACACATCTAGCGTGCCCCACACACGGGCATCAATTACGATGGTGTCGGACCCTGAGTCCGACACATCACTGGCGGATCGGCTGAGCGTGAGCTCGAAGGGCTCACGCCGTCGCGTGACGGGGACGTTTAAGCGTCCCAGGCTGGAGGAGGACGCTTCGTCCCCGTCCTCCGGCGCGCAGGCGCCTCCCCCTAAAGTCCCAACGGCGGCGCGGGGTAGGGGCGGCAAGGGCGGCGGTCGCCGGAAACCGGCACCAGTTGCCTGCGTGGAGTCAGCCGAGCACTGGCTGCGGAGGGCAGGGCTCTCTCGAGCGCTGCCCGTTCAGAGTCCTCCGCAGCCGAGATGTCCGGCGTGGAGGTTTCGGAGGGCGAGTCGGGCTCCGAGAGCGCGAGCGGCTCCGGGCACCTCCGACAGGCCATCACGGAGGTGCTCCATAAACTGGCTATGGGGAAATCCCAGCCGGTTAGGCTCTCCCTCCTCAGGGCGGCGGTGGCCACTATTACGGAGGCAGCCTTGGAGCAGTGCGCGGTGCCCACTGCAGAAAAGGTGCGCTCCGAGCTGGGCGAGATGCGGCGGGAGCTGGCGCGCTTGGCGGCCTCCAATGCGGCCCTGGAGGCCGAGCTGCGACGGCCAGGGCCGAGCTCGCCGCTGCTCGCGGCAGTCACCCCCAGCCCCCGGCGGAGTCCGACGTAGTCGGACTGCTGCGAGCGGAGATGGCTGCCTTCCAGCGACGTTTTGACGTGCTGGAGGGCAGGCTTTTGCGCCCCCCGCTCGCATCGAGCCGGGCCTCCCCGCCCGCGGCATCGGGCTCATACGCGGCTGCTGTGGCCAAGCCTCCGACCTCCACTGGTCAGGCTGGCCGCGGCCCCCAACCGCCCAAGGCGCGGGCGCCTCCTCCCGCGAGGCCCTCGGCGCCCCCGCCGGCGCAGACCCCAGCTGCGCCGATGGCGCCTGCGCCCATGAGGCGCAAAAAGAGGAGGGACACTCCAGCCCGGCAAGCTGGAGTTGCAGCAGCGGCGGCGGAACCCCCCCGCGAGTGGAGGACGGCGGCGGTTGGCAAATCGCCGGCGAGGCGAGGAGAGTCGCCAGGGAGGGCCGAAAGCGCCGCAAAAAGGCGCAGCGGCAGCGACGGCAGCAGCAGCGCAGGGAGAAACGCGCTGCTGCCTTGCTCCTCGCCCCTAAGACCGCGGCTGTAGTTATTACACTGCAGCCCGAGGCGGTCAATAGGGGCGTTACCTATGGTGACGTCCTCGCCAAGCTCAAGGGGGCGGTAACACCTGCGGAGTTCGGGGCCCCGGACGGGTTTGCGGTCAAGGTGACCGCTACCGGAGCCCGTCTACTGGAGGTCCCCGGCGCGGCCAGTGGCCCGTCGGCCGACGCCCTGGCTGAGAGGCTTAGGGCGTGCCTCGGGGCAGACGAGGCCCGCGTGTCCAGGCCCACCAAATGTGTGGATGTCCGGATATTGGGCCTGGACGACTCCGTCACGGAAAGTGAGGTGGTGGCCGCTGTGGCCAGGACGGGAGGGTGCCCTGCTGACCAGATCAAGGCGGGCACCATCCGTCCGGACAACTCGGGGCTGCGCACGGTGGTGGTGAGCTGCCCCGTCACAGCGGCCAAGAAGCTGAAGGAGGGCAAAAGGCTCTTGGTGGGATGGGTCTCGGCGCAGGTAAAGCTGCTCGAGACCCGGCCTCTGAGGTGCTACCGTTGTCACGTGGGGGAGCACGTGAGCGCCAAATGCACCTCAGAGGTGGACCGCAGCGACTGTTGCTTCCGCTGCGGTCGGCCCGGTCACAGGGCCGGCTCCTGCACTGCCCCGCTGCACTGCAACGCATGTGCGGCGGCTGGCAAGCCGGCCAATCACCGGGTCGGGAGCAAGGGCTGCTCCCCTCCTGCCAAACCCAAGGGCAAAGGTAGGCCCTCCGCCACCCCTGCCGTTTCCGCCGCCGCCGCCGCCACTGCCGCCGCAGTCGCCGCTGCCGCTACTGAGGAGATCGGAATGGACTGTCAATAATGGCTCCATTCCGCCTCCTCCAGGCGAATATTAACCACTGCGCCGCTGCTCAGGATCTCCTGCTCCAGAGCATGGCGCAGTGGTCGATCAATGTCGCCGTGGTCTCCGAGCCGTACTTTGTCCCGCCCAGGGATCACTGGGTGGCGGACCTGGACGGCTCGGTGACCATCATCTCATCGGCCGCCGCCGGTACCCCGACTCTTGAGGCAGCTCAAAGAGGCCGGGGTTGTGTCGCAGCACGGTTCGGAGAGCTCGCTGTGGTGGGCGTGTACTTCTCTCCGAACCGAACTCTCGCCGAGTTCCACAACTCCTTGATGGAGTTGGTCACAGTCGTCGTCGGGTTCCGTTCCCTCCCCGTGCTCGTCCTCGGGGACTTCAATGCCAAGAATTTGGCTTGGGGTTCCCGGTTCACCGACGTCCGGGGTAGGATGGTGGAAGACTGGGCCCTTGAGGCAGGCCTAGTCGTCTTGAACCGGGGTTCTGTCTACGTGCGTGCGGATGCAGGGCGAGTCGGTGGTGGACATTTCGTTCGCCAGCCCTGCTCTGTCACCACGTATCGTTGACTGGCGTGTCATGGAGGAGGTGGAGACGTACTCCGACCACCGGTATATCCGGTTCAACGTCTCCGCCGAGTCCGCGGATCCGCCGGTCAGACAGGCCCCATGTGGCCCGCGTTGGGCGCTGAAACAGCTGGACCGGGAGCTGCTCCTGGAAGCCGCCATCGTGCAGGCCTGGGTGATACCACCGGTCAGGCCTGCCGACATTGACGATGAGGCCAAGTGGCTCCAGGACGCCATGTCCAGGATCTGTGACGTGGCGATGCCCCGGATCCGGTCGAGGCAACAAAAGCGCCAGGTGTACTGGTGGTCGCAAGAGCTGGCAGCTCTACGCAAGGCGTGCACTGCTGCGCGACGCCAGTACACTAGGCACCGCAGGCGCCGTCTCCGTCCTCCAAATGCGGAGGCGAGAGAGGCGGAGTTGTATGAGGGATACAGGGCGGCGAAAGCCGTCCTCAAGGCGGAGATATTGCGGGCCAAGGAGGAGGCCCGCCGGGAGATGCTGGGGACTCTGAATAGAGACCCGTGGGGACGCCCGTACCGCATGGTACGCGACAAGCTTCGCGCTTGGGCTCCCCCGCTCACTCAGAGTCTCCGGCCAGAGGTCGTTGAGGAGGTAATTGGCGCCCTGTTCCCCCGGCTGTGGAGGGGCTTCACCCCTCCGTATATGACTCCGCCCCCTGCGGTGCCCGACGCGGGCTATAGCGACGACGACGACGACATCGTCCCAGAGGTGACCGAGGCAGAACTGAGAGCGGCGGTGCGCCGGATGGGCGCCAAGAACACCGCCCCAGGACCCGACGGCTTGCATGGCAAAGCATGGGTCCTGGCCTCAGAGGCTCTCAGGCCTCGATTAATCGGTCTCTACAGCGCATGCTTGGAGAGAGGCCAGTTCCCGCTGCTCTGGAAAGCGGGAAAACTGGTCCTCGTGCGGAAGACGGGGCGCCCTGCGGACTCTCCGTCCGCGTACCGGCCCATAGTGCTGCTCGACGAGGTGGGGAAAGTCTTCGAAAGAATCATTTCGAACCGCCTCGTCGCGCACCTGACGGATATTGGGCCGGACCTATCGGACGGCCAGTTCGGCTTCCGCAGAGGGCGCTCCACGGTGGACGCCATCATGCGCGTTAGGGACCGGACGACGGGGACTGCAGTGTCCAGGGGTAAGGTCGTAGTGGCGGTGTCTCTGGACATCGCCAACGCCTTCAACTCCCTGCCCTGGAGCTGCATCTTGGAGGCACTCCGATATCATCGGGTGCCTACCTACCTCCGTCGTGTAATCGAGGCATACCTGACGGACAGGTCCGTCATCTACCCCGGTCACCGGGGCGAGTGGAACCGGCGAGAGATGTCACGCGGTGTTCCACAGGGTTCGGTTCTGGGGCCGCTCCTGTGGAACATCGGTTATGACTGGGTGCTGCGCACCGACCTCCCGAACGGCGTTAGCATGATATGCTACGCCGACGACACGCTGGTGCTAGCGCACGGGAGGTCGCACCAGGCGGCGGCCGATTTAATGGCGACAGCGGTTGCGACAGTCGTTGAGAGAATCCGGCAGTTGGGACTCGAGGTGGCGCTCCACAAGTCCGAGGCCATGTGTTTTCATGGCCGCGGGAATGCGCCACCTCCTGGTGGGTCTCAAATAATGGCGGGAGGGGTTACCATCGGCGTCGAGACAGCGATGAAGTACCTGGGACTCGTCCTCGACAGTCGATGGAACTTCGTGGAGCACTTCCGACGTTTGGCTCCAAAGTTGGCGAGGGTGGGGGCTGCGTTTAAGCGCATCCTCCCCAACCTCGGGGGTCCAAACGCCTCCTGCCGGAGGTTATACGCCGGGGTCGTGCGGTCCATGGCCCTCTACGGCGCCCCTGTTTGGGCGCCGAACCTGCTGCAGCGGCCCGCTCGGGCGCTGCTTATGGCACAGAGGGTCATGGCGCTCCGAATGATCCGCGGATACCGCACGATCTCTGGGGAGTCGGCGAACCTCCTTGCCGGATTACCGCCGTGGGATCTGGAGGCGAAGGTGCTCGCGCGCGTGTATCGCATGCGCGTGGAGGCACGTCGCCGGGGCGAAACTCCGCTGCCGCGCCAGATAAGTGCGTGGCGGGATGAGCTCCGGCGCGATCTCATGGCGGAATGGCAGCAACGACTGTCGCAACCGAGGGCTGGGCTCGCTGCCATTGCAGCGGTAAGTCCCCTCTTTGAGGAGTGGCTTGAGAGACGCTACGGCGTCCTCACCTACCGCCTGACGCAGGTCCTCACCGGACATGGAAGTTTCGGGAGGTACCTGTGTCTGATGGGGCGGGAGGAAACGCCCGGGTGTCATCACTGCGAGGACCACCCTGAGGACACGGTGGAACACACTGTTGCGGAATGCCCTGCGTGGGCTGAGCACCGCCGTGCCCTCAGGGAAGTGATCGGCGATGGAGACCTCTCGCGTCCAGGCCTAGTTCAGGCCATGATGCGGAGCGAGGGGGACTGGGATGCCGTCTCCTCCTTTTGCGAAGCAGTCATGCTGGCTAAGGAGGAGGCGGGACGCGTGAGGCAGCGAAGCGCTGCCTCCTCGCAACCCAGCCATCGCGAAGGACACACCGGGCGTCGGGGATCGCGGGACGATCTCCGGCCACCGTAAGCGCGGGCCTGCGGACGGCGAGCATGGGTGGCTCCCCGTCCGACCAGAAACAGACCCGAGCGTACGGCGCGTCGCGTTCCGCGCGCGCCTCAAAGAGCCATCAGACCACCACAGATGGGGCCCAATAGGGCCGATGCCGATTCGGAGTCGCGGAGAACCTAACGGGTAACCGGGGCTCCGGCTCGACGTGCAGGAGAAGGAACGGGGTGGTTTTTAGTCAGTAAGAGTCTGACACTCCCTTCCGCCTCACCCAGGCGGGAGCAGTCATTCGATGATTTTCCCCCCTTAAAAAAAAATAAAAAAAAAAATACACTATTTACAGACTTGTATAATACCGTAATAACAGATATGAGACTACAATATATTTAAATATAATAACTGTAGGTACAACACTATTCTTGATCTGCTGTCTTCATATTGTGACCATGGCGTGGACGGCCCGCCATTTTAATAACTACTTCGCTTCCGAAATAAGGATGTGGCAACGTAATATCTCGTTTATCGATGTTCTAGTACAATATTATTTTATAATAAATGAAACACGTTTTTTAAATCAGATTTATAATTCCGAATGTAACAGGTACTTAAAAATATATGATTGAAATAGGTTAAGAAGGTAAATAAAAACTATGAAAAAATAGAAAATTTTAATAAAATGTTATACAGTATGTACTATGTATACATGTTTTTAAATATTAAGTTCTATAAACCTGGCATAAAAAGTAACAAATTAAAACAATTAACGATTATATATAATTATCACAATTACCAATCAGTCTTATACTAATAAATCTTTTGAATAATAGAACAAAATTATACAAAATCTACAATGCAACCTGCATTCTGATCATCGAATTCGCTGGGTGCAAAGTGGGTGGTGGGGACAGTGAAATCGATCTCAGCGCGCACCGTGGCTAAAAAAGGAACTTTTGGCAGACTTTATTCCACGAAGTTATAGGTAAATATGGAGCCCACACTTAGAATAAAAGTTTCGAGTCAAATACTCTCGCTCCTATTCTCTGAGGCAAACTGAGGTCTGATCTCTTTTTCTAGTGTACTACAGAAATTGAAACAAACTGACCTCAGACAGTAGAAGAGAAAAAAAATTCAAGTAGGTATTTCAAGTGTGTACTGTGTACTCCATCTTTACCTACACCTTCATGCTTTATTCACTGCTTACTCCTCGTAAAGACAATGACAGTCAACTATTTGACGTACCAAGGTCCGCCGAGTCCGCCGACCGCTAGTTGGCGCTGTCATCGCGCACCCAGCGAATAGTAAGCCATGTGTTATCAGGCATAAAAAAGTAACAAATTAAAACAATTAACCATTATATATAATTATCACAGTTACCAATCAGTCTTATACTAATAAATCTTTAGAATAATAGAACAACATTATACAAAAAATAAATATTATACAATAAATCAAATTCGTCCAAAGATTCTGTTTCCGAAAATTCTTCGTCATCTGAGACTCCTTCTAATATGCGAAGAAGTTCTTCCGTAGTCATTAAATTCCCACTCATTGTAATAGTCACTTAATATAAATCTTGAACTCGATATCACAAGTAAATTAATCATAAATATTATTCATTCACTTCACTAATTTCTGGTCGCCGCGCTTGTGACGTCACGATATTGTCGTCTAGTCGTGACCATGGCGTACAGGGTACTGATAATTCGGGTTGCGTTAGGGATGCGCTTGAGTTGGGATTAGTGAATATCGAAATTCGACCCAACCAAATTTTATTTTTGACTATGTAGCTTATTGAATGATTTTTAAGACTGGTTTTATAAAATTAATGCTGCTTTATCCTAGTACCAAATTATACCTAAAATAATATATTCCAGAGGAAAGTTTCGAATCGATCTTTGATTTGAAATAATGATATTATCCAACATGCGCTACATCACTAGCGGTCACGCAGTTATGACTCTGGCGTGTGAGGACTATCTTTTTTCAGAGTTTATTTCTTTCTTTTTAACGTAAAATTTCTCAATATTTATAATGCAATTTAATTAGTTTTATGGAAATAAATAAATTTTGGACCTTCTATTTTACAGGTATATAAATAAATAGGCATTAAAGTAATGTTTAAATAGTTTATTTCGTGTTTTAATGTACCGCTGTTTTTGTCACATATTTGTGTCGTTGGCGCTCAGGGACAGTTTTCGCTTGTCACGTATTTGTGACCCTGGCGCTCAAAAGGTTAAAAGCCCCTAAAAGAAAATAGATTAAAAATTTTTTTTTACTGTCTCCTCATTTCATCATCATCAAGAAGTAACGACCTCATAATTCTAATTTATACCGCTCACAAGAATAAATAAAAATAAAAATAAATTAACTGCCATAATAGGATAGATGCCTAATTTTTATTTTAATGTCCGTCTGGTAAATTATTTTAACCCTTGTTTTTTGTAAACTTATATCGACAATAAAGTAAATAAATGATATTTAAAATCGTTCCATCGCATCATTAAAGTAACCCCTCTTATAAATTGCTTTAAATTCGTTTTATATTCATGAGCTTGCGTGTGGAACTTTTCAATAAAAGACGAGGATGCGCCTAGAACTATTCAGACGTTGTTATATTTTGGAAGTGGTTGCACTCACGAATTTGATACATAACGTTGTCTAGCTTTATAAATTGAGTCAACAATGATAATAACGTGTGGTTTTGACCTTATATTACAAGTCTAAGTTTTTATTAAACACGTGTAGTGTGCTACTGAAATCTTTATATTTTATTGTCTTGAATAAAATTCTTTTGTATTTTCGTAATTGAAGTTACTATAAATTTTAAACCATGGCAACAGATGTCCAAGAGGGGGTTATCACTAAAGACGATCGGTAACTATTATTTTACCATAGAGAATAGAAATTTGTTAATTTCATTTAATATCGTTGGTCGTTTACATGTCCATTCATTTTGGAAACTATCGTTTTTTTTCCTCCTCTTATAATATCTTCTGTTTCACTTCGTTGCGAGAACCAAGACAGTTACTCATGTCCCTGGGACGCGCCGGACTTCAGTGTTCTGGTGTTTTCATGGTTGTATCTACTGTAGATCCTGGCTTACAGGAGTTACAACGGTTTTAGGAGGTCGTGGCGGGTTTGGCCCCAAAAAAAAAAGTCCATTCACTTCCAGTTTGACAGTGCAGTGAAATGGAGGCGAAGTTCAATTCCCTAATTTGTTGGAAGTTGTAAATGATATAATATTTTGTTACAGCATAATAATGTGGCGTAAGTCGAACAAGTTAGCACTTCGACTGGAAGTGGTGACCGACGAGGGCGTGGCGGGCGGCGCGCCGGCCGTGGCGATGGTGGCGCTGCAGTACTCCTACCGCAACACAGTGCCGCCCGCCGCCGCCGCCGCGCAGCCACGGGACCATACTCTATACACCACCGTCTTACTCGACCTGGGTACCGTCAGCTCCAACTAGTACGCAGATCTCATCAGTCAGATTATTTCCCCTAGAAAAATGGTATAAACGCTATCTTGTATAAGCAATATCATTGTCTAATGGACTGATCAGTTAGTTGATACAAATCAAAATGTGAATATTTATGATTTATTCCTAGAGCTCTCTTATTTACTAACAGAAAGAACATATTAAATTATTTGTGCAAACAAAACTCACATACATTGTGTATGATAAAATATTATTTATAGTAATAAAGATGCAATAACAATGCTCCTGTGATCAACGACTAGAAAAATGCACGATTAACGAGTGCACATTTATCTTTCATTCGTGTAAGGTCGTCATTTATTAATAGAAAACATTTTTAAGTTGATGGAGAGAATTAAAATATGGTACTCGTGACTTTCTAGTCACACACTATATGAATTTCCTTTTCTTATAATATGTATTTTTATAACTGAATTACTTTAATGTTCGAATTTAAGTTTAATTTATTTGCACCAGATAAAATTCGAACTGTGTTCTTTCACTTTCTCGAACAGTTCAAGATAATTTGGAAAAATTACGTTGACACAAATAGGCCATCTGAAGTCGGAAATAATAAATAAGTAATAACTCAATTATGTTGTATGTAAGAAAGAGATTAACTTGTAAAACCGGCCATTATAATATTTGCTTCTGAAGTTACTGTAAACAAAATGTTATGGCCAATTTTACATTTACAAAAACGAATGAGGTTTTCAGTCTATCACATTCTTGATCCAGTATCTTATGATCAAACGAGATTAGTACTTAAGATGTTACTAAAACATATAAAAATGTCAGCAGCATTAGCTAGAAGTTACAAATATACCAATTACTAAACGAATGTATATTATGTAAGATAATATCGAATATTTTATATTGTACATGCATAGAGCAGCTAGGATCAGTCACATGTGCCTAAACATAAACTTAGCTTGTTATTTTTACTTTTAAAAGTGTCGCCCATGTTAGGGATTCTCCTAAAATGGGTGTGAAATGAAATTATTCGTGAAATACCATGCACTTGGATATTTTAGTTAGCTATTTATTTTTATAGGCTTTATTAAGAGGTAAGATATTATTTTAGAATAAGATGTTCTCACTACTTAATACCTGTGCATATAACCATTAGCTTGAAGTTTGCACGTTTTATACATACTGCTACAAGTATTATAACATGTTTGCTGAAATAAAATATTTTCAACATTACTTTCGTTTTTTTCTTATACTATCATTATTCAAAACCTTTTTATGCATGATTGGAAAATTTGTTAGCTGTCCTAACTTATTATATTTATGTTTATTAGTTTTCATCTAATATTCAGACATGGACAAAATTTTTGGGAGACATTTAAAGAAAGTCTTTAACTGAGTTAACAGTTTGAATATTTTATCTATTTCTTTTTATAAATTAATACAAAAAATAACTAGAGACATCAGTAAGAATATACATTTTATAAACAAAAAGTATTACAAAAAATTTATGTTGACTGTTGTATTTATTACCCGCATAGATTCATATTTGCTAAGATAACTTCCCGAATAGTTGACTTAACCCTGTAGACATGGATTTTCTTCAACCTGTTGCTTAGCTGAATATATGACATCATTTATACCTACACCATCGTAACTACACCCAACCAGAGATATTGGTAAATTATTTGAGGCAATGTACTCCCTAATCTTTGCCACTCTCTCATAGTGTCCTATCACATACTGAGGTATACATTGTTTCAGAATGTTCACATGATAAGCAGTAGGATCAATTTTTATGTCCAATATCTTCACAATTTCCTTCAAAGCCACTTCTAACAACATCTTCTCAGTGGCATTGTCTCCAAACTTTTCCTTATACCATTTACCACCAAGCATGACAGTCAACACTGTTCCCTTTTGATCAGGTATACAACAAGAATCAAACACTACCCCAAGGATAGGCGAGTTTTCAATTGGTGGCACGAGGAACCCAAATGCAGGTTGAATAAGAGGTTCATCGTTGTCAAAATATAAGTTGACAATGCCTACAGTAACAAATGGAATGTCGCTTAGTGTCTGAGCCAATCTAGGATGTTGCTTCTTCACTAAATTAGCAAGAGCATAAGCCGGTATAGATGAGTAGACATGATTGGCTGTGTGAGTTTCTCCATTAGCTTGCTTCAGTATTACAGAGCTTGAATCTACGAACTCAATTTCATTAACTTTTGTATTAAGACTGACATTCACATTGTTTTCAATCAAATGGTTCTGTAAAGTATCTGGAAATGTTTCCAAGCCTCCCTTGATAGTGTAAACATTCCATTTTTCTTCTTGCGCCTTTTTTGCAAGCTCACTAAGATCAAGATCAGCATCAGATTTTGGTTTTAAAAAGGACTTGAATAAGCCTTTGATTACTCCGCCATGATTTTGTTCATATTCAAATAATGTTTTCATCAAGAACTTAACAGATATTTCCTTCGCATCACCAGCACAAATCCCGCATATCATTGGAGATATAGCATAGTCGGCAATTTCTTTACCAAAACGTCTTTCTACAAAATTATATATTGAATCGTCTGGTAATATTTTATATGGGGATTTAATATCGTTGAACAGAGCGTAAATTAAAGGCTTGGAAAATGGCTGGCTCTTTGTGAAGACACTCATTAAATTCGAAGGTAGAGTATGTAAGTTGTTACGTACATATATCATTCTGATGTTAGCCGCCGGGTGGTCCGATTTGATAGGCGCAATGTGCTCGCTGAGACCAAGATCTTGCATCATGTTCAAGGTATTCAATCCAGTTAGTCCTTTAGGCCTAATAGTTCTTGGTCCTTGTTCAAACACGTAGTCTTTAGTTCGGATAGATTTGATCCATCCACCGCAGTAGTTTGTCGCTTCTAAGAGAAATAACTTTAGATTGTTGTTACTATTCATATTATTTTTAAGTAAATAGTAACCAGTAGACAGGCCTCCTAAGCCGCCACCCAGTATAGCAGTCATGGCTCACTTATTAATTTTAATTTTCTATTTTAACAAAATTAATATCTTTACACTGCGGCGATTTGTTTGTTTTGACATTTCCTTGTCATTCTGACTTGAAGACTTGATAGTTTGATAGTACTTGATGACAATGACAAATCAAAACAGCTGAGAACACGGAAACGGAAAATACTATTTTTATTTAAAACATTTTATTTTCTTTTTATACCTATACAAAGTTAACTGAGTACTATAATTTTATATTCAAATTAGATATGTATAATAAATAACAGTATACAAATTATACAAATATGTATTGTCGAAGACTGTCTTAATCAGCAAAATTAGTCTAGCATCAAAAATATCATGTGCAAAGACGTTGAGAAAAGGATCGTATGTACTGCATAAAAATATTTAAAATATAATGACACTCATTATATTTAATCTAGTCGAAAAATATTTAAAAGGCACCAATATATTTAATACGAAGAACGTTATATCGCTATCGTGTCACCGCAAGCGTGAAGCGTGTAACGAGGACACAGTTGCTGCTCCGCGACAGATAATGAATTCCAATTTCATACCTATTGCACCCACAACACATTACTTATTTATCCCTTCACGGAGGCTGTATAGAGTGGCAAATACGAAAACATTTGTTTCTAATTTATAACAAGCACATCATTAATCTAAAATATCGTGATAATTCGGATCAACGAGGACCTAGATTCGACCCTTGGCCCATTCACAATCAGATAGACAAACTAATAGATACATAGTAGATAGGTACCTATTACTAATACCTAGGTATCATACTTATATGATACTATGATATTTAAATATCTATGTGAAGAATTTAGGATGAATTTTAATTGTAAGGTACATTTTAAACAATATTCGCAACAATATCCACAGTAAGTATATCACTTTCTTAACACATATACCTATATATAAATCATTTCATCTCATCAGCTCCTAATAGTATCGCAGTCTCGTACCCTATAAAAACCATCGGGACACTAGAAACCACTTTCATTCTACTCTAGGACGCGCAACAAGTAACAATGAATCTCCCACAATCATCGCTTCGCCCTAAAACGTCAGCGAAAACTTACAAAGTGGCTGAATTGAAAGTGATGAAAATTCTGAACAAAATCGACAGTTTGAAATTAAGTAATTCGTATATCGCGCGTCTGGACATTCCGAAAAGCAGTGAAAAGAAAGTTTTTGGTAGGAAAACTTCAAGTTATATTGTCTTGGTTTCGATTATAATTTCCGTGCTTCTTTTTAGTGCACGATGGATCTACACTGAATTTCTGGAAAGTAGGGTGAGTAAACTTATATTTTACCTACAAGATTTTTTAGCAAATGTAATTAATATGGCCATCTATCATCATTTACCTATTGCTTCGTCGATTGCAATGGTGACTGCACAGTCTTCGGTTCGTTTCCCGGGTAAATTAAAGTAACGTTGTTTATTTTATAATTGTTTCACGTCAAGCGTCTAACTGGTCGTCATAGGTACTTATTTACACACCTACCTGTTTTGTCTTTCCTAGCACTGTTTAATAGAACTCCCGTCATTCTCCAAGTCGGCGTTCCGTCCACCAGAAGATTGTTCCATGTGCTTGGGTGTCGATGACGTGGTTCGCCTGGCGAACATCACGGCTGAGGAGTTTGAAGACAAGTATGCGTACAGCACCACACCAGTCATCGTCACTGACGCTACTGAAGGATGGAGAGCTTTGAAGGTATGGGAAAGGGACAGGGCATTGAATGTTGCAAAACATAATTTTAAACACCTACCTTTATATACTGCAGTCGAAGCAGTGTTTACGGGTTTTTCAAAGCACGTAAGTAATTTTCATTTAATACGTAATTTTTACAGGAATTCGACTTCAATTTCTTTGCAAACTTCTACAGCGAGAGTAAAATGGGGAAACAAATCAACGACTGTTTTTACTTCGCGTACAAGTCTGGTCTGAAGTCGTTACAAGAAGTGTTTAGTATGGACGAGGCGAGGGCTAATCTATCAGGCCAGCCCTGGTATGTTGGATGGAGCACCTGCTATGATGATGAGACGAGAAGGCTCAGGTCTTACTACAACAGACCCTACTTTCTACCTAAAACAGCTGAAAGTGATATGGTGGACTGGATCTTTATGGGCGGACCTGGTCAAGGGGCGCATATGCATGTAAGTATGGGAAAATGTTATTTCTAAAAGTTAAATCATCGTGTAATAGACACTAGATACAGAACATAGGCTACTACTTAATGTTATGCGGACAAACCAAGAAACATTCGATAAAATAACAAAAAGCCTGAATCTATTGAAATTCGTTAAGTTTATTTGTGGCGAGACTGATTGATTACTAAACAATGGCTAGAGAATGGCCTAGGGTTTTTTACAGTTTCAACAAGTACCCACATATTTTTTTAGATTTGTAGGAATTGTATAATGAGCACAAGTTAATAATATGATACTAATTTCACATTTATTATTTGTGCATTTCGACCTGCCCCTTGGACTAAAAGATATCATGATATAATATGCAGGTGGACTCTGTGAAGCACATATCGTGGCAGGCCCAGGTGCGCGGACACAAGCAGTGGCAGTTGGCGCCGCCACCGGAGTGCCTCTACCACTGTCGCTGGATCACATTCACGGTGGCCCCGGGAGAAATATGTTAGTAACACACCCGATATTTTGTTCTCAGGCAGCTTTATGATATCCCTTTTGTAGTAATATTTTTATTTTAAGTATTAAAATCAATCGAAGTCCTCGTGTTAGAAATCTATCTAGATTAGAATAGATTCTAGACCTAATTTGCCTTTAAAAGGTCTTATTCTGGACCTAATTTGCCTTTAACCGCTTGAATGCACCGATATGAGACGCAATAGAAAATACATTGCGTGGATCCACGTTTAGACACACGACGACGTGTTAAAGGTCTTTACAACCCCGATTTTTATAATGTACCTAGATAATTTTTATCATCAGACGTTCAGCTTGTCTGTAAGAATTATGATAGCAATATGACTTGAATTTTGATAGCAATTTGACTATCTCTTTTGGTTACAGTGGTAGTGGATACAAACCGCTGGTATCACAAAACGAATGTACTGCCTGGAGACATCAGCATCACTATCGGCGCCGAGTATGATTAGCTTCGATACAAGACCCATATAATATGCTCTATGTTATCGAGTAGATGTTACTACAAGTATTGCACTGTAGACACAATACAACACGGATTTGAATTGAAACAAATCATGTAATGCTACTAAAAACCTTTAATCATCACCATTAAACTATGCTACGCGACACTCAGCGAACTAAGTTGATAACATCGATAGGTTGGAATGACAATCAGCTACAATACAGAGAGCGTCTGACACAATATCATTATACAATTATACAGTTACACACGGAGACTGGAATACTGCAAGATATCCTTATGTAGACAAATTCATAATAAATAATTATACTTACATTTTGAATAAAAAACTCTTTATAATAAGTAATTTATTTAAAAATTATTAAATTAAAATTGTAATCTATCAACACTGCAGATATCAATCAAATTACACGGAATACGGATTCTACGAACAATATTTAAGTACAACAATTGAATGTATAGTGGGTTACACAGAGTGGCCGTTCACACTTTATTACTTACAAAAAATTGGATTAAATAAAAAAAATATTTATTAATTAGGAAAATATAAAAGAAAATGATTTTATTTGTAATCTGTACCCTTGGTGTTGTAGTAAATAAAGTTTTTGGCGAACCTTATAATTTTTTATTCTATCTGTATACGATTAAGTAATTTCCGAAGTACGAAGAAAGCGTAGAATATAATATATCGTCATTATAGACGCTAACATTAAGTTTGATTAGCATATCATTGAATTTAACTCGAAACATTGAACAGGGAGTAACATTAAAGAGTATAAGCTGCCTAGTCCCAGCTGTATACACTGTGACGATAACATCTACTACAAACAGTACGCCGGGTACATAATTACTTCACACGATTAAAATATACTCTCTCATCATATATTTCCTTGAACAATTTAACTAATATATTTATTAATCTGTCTTTTATATTGTATCGAATAATTTTTTCTTTACATTTTTGTAACAGTTATGATGAAGTAGTATATTATAATGTATGCTGAACGTTGGAAATGTGTCGTGTTTACTCTTCCGTCTGTCCCGCCGAGTCGAGGATCACCTCGAAGGAGAACGGCTGGAAGAGGTAACCTTCGCCTTGGTAGAACTTACTCTGGAACTCCACCCTGGGGAATGAAACAGGTTATTTTAGTAACATAGAAACTATGCTATCATCGCCCAAAGAACTATTTTGCGACAAGTGTCGAAGCAACGAAACATATAATGAACATGGCATGTAACAGATCCGTTTGGAACATAATAATAATCTCATGTTATAAAGTCTTTTTGTGATCCACAAATTATCGTTCCGAATCTGGGTGTGATTGTAAATGCACCCACGACACAGGAGAAAATCCTAGTTAGCGGAAATGTTTTCTTTTAAGATAAAAAATACTGACCAGTGCAGACGCAGGGTATGCAGGAAGGCGGAGAGTCCCTCCATGAGTACGAGTATAGACACAGAGATGGCGGCCCAGCCTGCGAACACTATGTACAGGAAGATGCCGCCCTGGTAGTCTGTCGACATCAAACCTGGACAAACAAACATACATCACTCATTTCACACGTTGATAATATTTTAAATAAAATAACATAAACATTACGCCTTTTATCCGCGAAGGGGTAGGCACATTACGGCACTTAATATGCCACTGTACAATGTAACACCCACTTTTCACTATTTATATTATGAGTCCCATGTAATAGGGATGTACGGCTACTAGTACCGCAGCACAGAGAGGACAGAGAGCGCGCGTACCTTTCCGTAGCAGCATGTTCCAGGCGACCTCGGCGAGCTGCGCGTGCGCCAGCGACAGCGCCCACAGCCGCAGGTACGACGCCGTGTGCGACACGCTGCCCAGCACGTACTCGATCGTGTGGATGTACGGCTACTAGTACCGCAGCACAGAGAGGACAGAGAGCGCGCGTACCTTTCCGTAGCAGCATGTTCCAGGCGACCTCGGCGAGCTGCGCGTGCGCCAGCGACAGCGCCCACAGCCGCAGGTACGACGCCGTGTGCGACACGCTGCCCAGCACGTACTCGATCGTGTGGATGTACGGCTACTAGTACCGCAGCACAGAGAGGACAGAGAGCGCGCGTACCTTTCCGTAGCAGCATGTTCCAGGCGACCTCGGCGAGCTGCGCGTGCGCCAGCGACAGCGCCCACAGCCGCAGGTACGACGCCGTGTGCGACACGCTGCCCAGCACGTACTCGATCGTGTGGATGTACGGCTACTAGTACCGCAGCACAGAGAGGACAGAGAGCGCGCGTACCTTTCCGTAGCAGCATGTTCCAGGCGACCTCGGCGAGCTGCGCGTGCGCCAGCGACAGCGCCCACAGCCGCAGGTACGACGCCGTGTGCGACACGCTGCCCAGCACTCGATCGTGTGGATGTACGGCTACTAGTACCGCAGCACAGAGAGGACAGAGAGCGCGCGTACCTTTCCGTAGCAGCATGTTCCAGGCGACCTCGGCGAGCTGCGCGTGCGCCAGCGACAGCGCCCACAGCCGCAGGTACGACGCCGTGTGCGACACGCTGCCCAGCACGTACTCGATCGTGTGGATGTACGGCTACTAGTACCGCAGCACAGAGAGGACAGAGAGCGCGCGTACCTTTCCGTAGCAGCATGTTCCAGGCGACCTCGGCGAGCTGCGCGTGCGCCAGCGACAGCGCCCACAGCCGCAGGTACGACGCCGTGTGCGACACGCTGCCCAGCACGTACTCGATCGTGTGGATGTACGGCTACTAGTACCGCAGCACAGAGAGGACAGAGAGCGCGCGTACCTTTCCGTAGCAGCATGTTCCAGGCGACCTCGGCGAGCTGCGCGTGCGCCAGCGACAGCGCCCACAGCCGCAGGTACGACGCCGTGTGCGACACGCTGCCCAGCACGTACTCGATCGTGTGGATGTACGGCTACTAGTACCGCAGCACAGAGAGGACAGAGAGCGCGCGTACCTTTCCGTAGCAGCATGTTCCAGGCGACCTCGGCGAGCTGCGCGTGCGCCAGCGACAGCGCCCACAGCCGCAGGTACGACGCCGTGTGCGACACGCTGCCCAGCACGTACTCGATCGTGTGGATGTACGGCTACTAGTACCGCAGCACAGAGAGGACAGAGAGCGCGCGTACCTTTCCGTAGCAGCATGTTCCAGGCGACCTCGGCGAGCTGCGCGTGCGCCAGCGACAGCGCCCACAGCCGCAGGTACGACGCCGTGTGCGACACGCTGCCCAGCACGTACTCGATCGTGTGGATGCCCTGCGGGGCGGCCGGGTTAGTCACGGGTTTAATCACTCAGTTTTAATCACTGTGTCATTCATCTTTAATCCAGACTCTCCTACTTTCAGATCGTTCAAACAGCTGTCCATAAATAGGTTGAACAGCCAAGGAGATGCTACACAGCCTTGCCTAACACCTCGATTAATGTCAAACCACTCCGTGTAGTCCCCACTTATTCTGACACAGGCACTCGAGTCCTTATATAAAGATTTAAATGCCCGAATCAGGTGGCTATCCACCCCATATACGGACAGAGTTGACCACAATTTAGCCCTCACCACTCTGTCATGAGCCTTTTCTAGGTCTATAAAGGCACAAAATACCTTTTGGTGCTTTGACAAAACTTTCTCTGAAATGCATCGTAACGAAAAGACTTGATCGTACGACGTACACCTCATTCCCTTTCGAAATCCCGCTTGCACATCCCAGATTTTATGCTCAGTTACATCCATCACTCTTTCATTCATATTTATTTCTCCCATATTAGCACTTTCATTATCATCGTTTACTTCCTCTTCTAAATATTCCTTCCATTGCTTTAGAACATCCTTACTTTCTCCAATGACACTCTCATTTATATCTCTTATCATACTTACTTTCTAGTCTCCCACTTTGCCTCTGGCACTTCTAACTGAATGCCAGAATAGTTTAGCGTTGGATCGAAAGTTCCGAGAAAAATTTCTTTCCAACTTTTCCTTACATTCATTTTTCTTCTTGTTAACTGCCTCTTTTGCGCTCTTTTTGAGACTAACGTACTTTTCTTTCATACTTTCTAGCACTCTTCTATCTGCCTTTGAGGCTAATAAGTCGAGCCATGCTTTCTTCTTTTGCTCTATTACCTCTTTTACTTCATCATCCCACCATTCATTCCTCTTGATACCAGTGTTATTTTTCTTGCTTACCCCGCATACTTGAGTAGCTACTGCGACCACTCCATCTTTAAATTCCTTACAAAATTCTTCTATATTCCATTCGTCGCCTTTCATTAGCTCCCTAAACCTTTCATTTAATAGTTTCCTGTTCTGGTCCCTAGCTTCCTCTTCTCTCAACCGTTCAACTCTCACTCTCTCGGTTCCAGGCATCCTTACCCGTGGCCGATGTCTCCACTTCATTGCCAGTCCAGCTATTCTAGTAATTACTAGGAAGTGGTCGCTTCCTACATTTGTGCCACGGTAAACCCTTGAATCCTTCACTTTTGTCCTCAGGCGTTCATCAACAATCACAAAATCAATCATACTTCTTTCTGTACGCCTCTGCCATGTATGCATGCGTATCTTCTTGTGACCAAATGTTGAATTGGTCACAACAAGTTCTTTTTCTACACATATATCCAGCAGACATACCCCATTCTCGTTCACTCTTTCATCTCCAAATCGCCCTAATACTCTATCGTAACCATCGCGTGCCACTCCAACCCATCCATTAAAATCTCCAAGCATAATTATTCTTTCATTCTCTTTACATTCATTAAGAACATCTCTCAAGTTATCCCAGAACACTTCCCTCACCCCAATTGGCTTTGATATGTCCGGGGCACGAGCACAGATGACAAATAATTTGGTCAAGCCAATTTTAAGGCGGATCCAAATTTTAAAATTAAATATTAAAATTGGTTTCATAAGTTATGCGAATTTCATTTCGAAAACCGTAATAAGTTCTTAATTCCTACTTTAGCAAGTGTTATAATACTTGTAAGTTAAATTACCTGGTGAATGAAGACCTCAGTGATATCCTCGTCGTGATGATGCGCAGCGGGCGCGGCGGCCCCGCCGGCGGTGCCGTTCTCTGCCGCGCCCTCTACTGGCTGGTGGCCTTGACGCTACACAAGGAAAGAAATAATGCTATTGATAAAACAGATCATGAATGACATTGTCGTTAAAACTTATTTGTACTTGAGTAAGTCTTATTTAATTGTCTTATCACATTTTGTTGTAATATTGTATAAGTAATGCTTACCGCCAGCTATCCATTAAAGTAGCATTAAAATAAATAACCATTTTAATTCAATATCATAAAACTAAAAAACATGTAGTTGAATGACACAATCAAGTACAGACAGATTGAATAATTTTCGTTGCAATCAACATTTATAGATACGAAATATTGTCTTCTTTATAAACCTCAATCACAAGTTATTTAGTAACTGTAATTGCTTTGTGTTAGATCTTGTATAGAATAGTAGTAGTGATATACTCACAGCCCTCTGCTTCTGCTCCTTCATGATGAAGTAAGGCTTGCCGAACAACATCACGGGCACGCACAGCAGGGCCAGGATCACGAAGAACTGGAACATTCACTCATCCGTCACTCTACATCTACACCCCGGGACTACAGAGGTCTCCGGTACAAAACAGGTATTTGCCATGACCTCCACTCCACGCTCGACAATTGACTTGGAGATTGCAGTTTAAAAAGATTAGATGTATCAGAGAATGCTGCTTGGTTTTTTGAAATATGTAGTTCCTTAGTCGATTTTAACGACAGAAAAAGCACCCTCTTCCTGCATATGCATATGGCAACAAATGCTAAAAAATAGAGTACAATAATCTGTTCGTTCCGTATTACTAGTGTATACCTTCTGTATGCCCATCTGTCCGGCGTACATGGTGTCGTCGCATACTGGCCGAGTATTGGGGTCGTGCTTGAACAACATCATGTTGATGAACGTGATCAAGATAGATGGCGCGCAGTACGCACTCGTCTTCACGATCTCTGTAATAGATTTATGTATGTTACAAAGTTTTAGCTGTGACTTAAATATCTTAGTTAACAACGACAATATCTTAGGTTTGATAGTTTTATATGCTCCAAGATAAATTTTGTTACGCCATTGTATGTATATTATCAAACGAAAATGACATATGATATTTTTTATCAAGAAAATACAATTTTTTCTACGATGTTATTAAGAACTTTTGAAGATTTATGAGCCGACTCCACGTACCAGGGTCGTCACTGCCGTAGTAGGGTGGAGTGGACCCGTACGTGGTCCACTTGATGAACATGAGCAGCACCATGTAGAAGAACAACAACGTGAGGAACAGGATCTGGGGGATGAACTCCACGTACACGCTGATACGGCGCTTGAAGTACCTGCGGACACACGCATACTTAGTATTGAGGGCTGCCAGGCAGATATCCAATAAGATTTCTGTTTATAGTTCATAAGGTTCTTTTTCCACTACAAACATCACTTCCATATGTGGGTGAGCCATGCTTCGGTACCAATGGATCGAGTCGGAAAAAGTGATGCCCCACTTGCGTCGTGTGCAGCTATGTGAGTAAGGTTACCGTGAGTCACGGTTTCGATTCCGACTGAACTTTATGTGATTCATAAATATCCACAAACTGTTATTCAAGTTTCAGCAAGGATTTGTAAAAACAGCTAGGAGAAAAACAGAATGTGCGAGAACATAAAACAATCTCCGTAATATAGTTATCCTTTAAGTAGCAAATACATAGTATACTTACAGATGGTTCCAGAGCGACATGCAGACACCGAACAACATGTGGAACACTCCGATGATGATAGAGATCTTCATCTTGTACGCGTTCATGAAAATGATCTTGTTTGCTTCAGCCAGCTGTTACACGATAATATATTTTATTGTTTACAGTATTAAGGTATTTTTACATTGAACCAAAGTTTGTTTAGAAAGCACTGCGAAGGCTTACGTTCAGACGGAGTAGGTTGGTTTTTAAAATTTGTTATTCTAATAAGTTCGTTTAAAAACCACAAGAGATCAGAAAAATTTTTATGAGCTGATTTGTAAGTCTGGAAAGCGACGTAGGGTATTTTTTTTTGTTTGACAAGCCGTAGATAGAAAGTTAATAAATAAGCGAATATAAATAAAACTCACTTGCCAAACAGGATCGATACCGAACGGATAAGGAGTTTGAACGTAGTCCTCAGAATCAGGGTTGAGTTGCAACAGTTTGTTGCTGGCTAGAGTGGACTCGTTGTAGTTGTTCCTCCACGACGAGCCGAAGATATTCAGACTTTTTGAGAAGATGTCGTTGTAGATCAAACCAGTGTACATCGAGAACAGACCCATCAGCAATATGATGTAGCGACCGCCGAAGAATATGTTCCAGATCTGTAAGTAAGGATGGATTTTATTTAGGTTGTCTTTAAATGAAGAGCATTTTAAATTTAGGATTGATATGGAGATCATTTGATTTTTCGATGATTTCAAGAAATACATGATAACATGGCATGTATTCACATACTACTTTATTTGTGATTTACAAAGTGTTTGTGATCAAGTTGCTTCACAAACCGTACCAAAACCAAATTACTATAGACTGAATATTACCTCGCTGTCAATTTTCTTGGCTTGCAGTGGTTTCTCCTTGTAACACATCCAGAATCCGAAGACGGCCATCAGCGCGCCGTGGCCGAGGTCTCCGAACATCACGGCGAACAGGAACGGGAACGTGATGATTGTGTATGGAGCTGTTATATCACACAAATAATAATAATAATTAATTATTTATTTATTTGTAATACTTTCTATCTTTATATACATGAGCTACAATAGAAAACGCATTATGTCTCGCGTAGATCTACGCTCCAACATACCAGAGGTGTGTGTAAAATTACTAATTTGTTAAAAACACAGCATGCACAAAAAGTTTCATTTGTCGAAACATTCAAACTATATTTAAGAAAATCCCCCTTAAACATTAAAAAATCTGTAGGTATGCTTGTTTGTAGCAGTACACTTAAATAATCTGTCCAGGAAAATAATATGTTCTACCCACTAGTGAAAATTTATGAAGTTTAAACAAAGGTGTGGGACTAAAAGTTAATTGTTAGACGTACCAGGGTTGACTTCCCGGTAGGTGGCGACACCGTACGCGTAGATGAGGTTCTGGAAGGCAGACGTGAACTTGTTGGTGCGGTTGTACGTCGGCGGGTCCTCCAACGTCTCCATGCGGTTCAGGATCGGAGGCACTGAACTGCCACTACGCTCCTGTAGAAATCAATGTTACAATATATTAGTTCAAGTTACACATTAAAAAAGCTTGTGTAAAAAAGAATTGTGGTATATACTGTAGGTATTCGAGAAGGATTCTCGATTATTTTCAAGTTACGACAGGGGCCCATAATCATGAGGCGCATGTGCTATGACCATTCAAACAAATCAAGCAACCCGTATGAGTAAACCTGATACTTCTTACGATAGATATTTATAAATAAGCTAAAATTTTCAACATCCAGAAAAAAGAACAGCATCAAGCATCAATGCAAATCTCAGTCGTTTTAATGTGAACTCACCGTTCCCCTCCTGAGAGCCAGCTGAATAGTTTCCAGGTCCAGTGCGGGCACCCAGCACTCAGCGATGAGGCATTTCTGCGTGACGTCCAAGTTGAACAGGTTCAGGGTGTGGTAGATCGCCTTGATTTTTCGAACCTTCACGAACCAGTTCTTAATGTTCTTCGCAGCTGCTACCAGCACGCGGTGACGGTGGTCTTGGGTCTGGCCTAATACCTGATGAAGGGAGAAAGGAAATTATTTGCTGAATGTTTTGGTGACGTTCATTGGATGGTTAATTGTGTATTTTGATAGAGAAGTAAGAATATTAAGGGTCTGCAGTTTTTGTCGTCTTCAAACTACGTGTGGGACATCATTTGAGATAGAATCGTTTATGAAAGAGTATTTTTGCCATATGTAAACATTTACTAAAATCTAATAATAAAAATCTTACATAGGACTTTATCCACGATAAATCCTGTGTATAATAAACACATAGTATCTCAATTCGACTCATAATGCCTAGAAATAAATCCAATTATTCTAAAACAAACAAATCTACAGTAATCCCTACACATATTCAATCACTAGATATATCAGATGTAATTAATATTACAAGTGTAACAAAAAACACGTAATCATACGCGGCACCGGTTTATGTGACCTCCAAACATTCCATGATATGATAGCGGACATCGACATGCTATATTTTAGTATCTACGATACCAAAAATGGACGTCACTACGTAAGATACATACTGCTAACTATACCTATAAAAGAAGTATGTATAATGGAATACATTTGTAGTTATTCCTTTTGATATTGTACATACAATTGTCAAAGTTGGTGGTCGATCATCATTAGGCGATATTCGCTTACTGTATAGCGAGTTTGCCATAGGGTTTTGTTTAAAAAGTGTACTACCTTAAACTTTGCCGATAGTACTATTTTCAGATTCTGTCAAGTCTTTTAATCTCTCAAGGAATAGACAGATATAACACAATATATATGCCCACTAGAGATATTTACGAGTTCGATTTAATAAGGTGTGATCCAATTGCCACATAACTATTACTGATATAGTCAAAAGTGAATACATAGATAACCAATATTATTCTATAGCCTATGTTTTATCGGTAGACATAGACAGATATATGTAAGTTCCCACTGGCATTAATCATAACAATTCCAATCAATACCACTTTCTATAAATAGTTTTTGGTGATGTCAATAGACATCAGAGTAACCCTGAATAATAAAACTTTTAAGGTAGGTTTTAGCTGTTACATGCAATAATAAAAGTTTCCATTTTCCATACTTCTGTAGACCGTGCCTATGGCAACGTCGCCCCCTCATCAACACAGACTCAATTAATTATACCGCTATACTTATATGCAAAATGTTAAATGTTACTATGCACTATAACTGGCTTTGACCCATTCATAAGGAGCCCGTATCATCTTGCACCGCGCACGTTACCTCATCTCTACTGCAATTATAGTGCAATCTTGGTATAACGTCCTCCTAGCCCACGTATCTATTACATACTTAGAACATATAGTTACAATAATACTAAATTACCTGACGTCACCAATAGGTATATTCACAACTATTTAAAGTGGACAGAAAATTTTATTAAATTATCAAAACTATTTATTAATATAATTTTATCTTGTGGTTGAGGAAACAACAATATGGGAGACAATGGGGAAGTCCTGTTCCCTTTATTTACTGAACAACAAATTTTCCTCATTTAACCACTAACAAAAAATGTACCAGACCGAAGAAAAGACCTCTTTTTGGCTTCGCCGTATTCGGGTAAAACAACTAGTGAGCTTTTAGAAGACCTAATGTGTCATATGGGTGTAATTTGTGTTCCATTTCATTTAATCACTGTTCGACTAATGTAAGCATCTGCTCGAAGTTTGTCAAATAATAATTAACAATCTATAATAATTTCGTAATAACTGACCCTTATCAAAATTCAGTTTTACTTTATTTAAAACCTTAACTTACTAGTTACACCTTCGTGGATTAAAACTTGAGAGGCTATATGTATGTATTTGTGAATATTTCTCACCGTGTTCAAATCCTCGATCCTGGTCATAACTCCCATAGCCATCTCCCTTCGGTCTGCAGGAGCCTCAGGGCAAGGGTACAGGGTCGCGCGGAAACCTTCGCAGATCTTCTTCACACGGGTCTTCAGCTGGTCTCCTTGGAAGAAGATGATGAACACCGACTTGTACACCTGGTCCGACTGGAAGAGGAAGGTACCATTATATATTTGATTGACTGAGTCCTCAAGAATAGTTGCTTACAATGAGCGCCGAGTTTACTTCTTAACTAGAAGATGTAAAACGGCGCCTGGATCTCATTCAAAGATAAAAGGATAGTAGCAATAGTATTTTGGTAAACTAAAGCTTTTGGCTAATTGACTTGTTTTGATTTTAAAGAATCTAAGAACCTGTACCGTGGGTACAGAGAAACCAGATACTGCTGAAGTGCATTTGATTACATAATATAGATGAATTGTGTATGAAACAATCACGTATTATGTTTTTCATTAAAACCTACAGTAGCCGTATCGAATAAATTGCTTAAACGGCTCTCCAATTGAGGAAACATACTTATTACAATCGATAAGCGCTGCCGTTCCATTGTAAATCAATTTTATTTATTAATTGTTCTGTTAGACAAGTTCGAGGACGAAGCTAAACGAGGAAACTCTGTTTAAATACAAATTATCTTCAAACAGTCAAAATGTTATAACTCACGTCATCTTCGTAGATAACAAGAAAGTCAGAACCTATCACAGATAAGGAAAACTATTAAACATTACTGCAAGGAAATACCATAAAATTGTATACCAGTCAACTGGTTACAAGCATTGCACAAGATTTAATACTTACAGATGAGGGGTCTTCCAATGGAGTGTCGATCTCGGCCTGACGGAGGAATACATTGCCTCTGCAGGCGCGCCATAACATGCGCTCAAAAGCGGGAATGCGCTCACGAAGGATCACTCCAGCCACGAAACTATACAAAAAACAGAATTAGCAATAGTCCAATATTCACGCAGCAGCTGAAGCGCTTTACACGTTACTTCGCAAACACCCAAAGCACTAATTCTGCTGCGGGGCCACAACTACTGATGCGGATATGAAATATTGAACCATCAGTCTAAGATCTTCGGTCCATATTTCAAAAGCACTATCGACCTCAGATTAAAAAAGGATTTCTCAGAACTGTGACGAGAGAAGTTCGCAGAAGAAACATGAATGTATGGAGATAATGTTAACATACGACACAAACCTCCAATGGCTGATATTATTTTTATCAAATCTGTAAAGTGACGCAATTTGTATAAAAGATTTTCCAGGAAATTAATCACTCTTATTTACTCCAATGCCGGTGAGAGGTAGTTGGAAAGTAAATAAATAGTAATGCAAAAATAAATAAAACAAAACATCTGGAAGTAATTACCATTCATTAACTGAAACAACTTTCACAATTTGAGAAATGAAAGAACATTATAGCTGTATTGTAGAAGAAATTCTCTCGTCATCAGATCGTGAATACAATGGTAAATGATCTAAGGAAAATTACGCCAAAATATACAATAGACCACAGAGTGGTGAAATTTTGATGAATTTTGAAGGGCCGCACTATTCTACAAATATAGGTAGACATTAAACAAACGCAGTCTGTAAATAACATTGGTTAGATTAGTGATAATATTGGAACAGAAAACGTACAAAAATAAAGTCTCGACGCGAAGACGATGTCCGGCTAGACGAGACAGTGCTATGACAAGGAAGCACAGCACATCACATAAATAATACGTAGACACCAGTAGATGAAAATACACTCATCCGACTTTCATTAATAGATTTTTAACTTTACCGTTTCGCTATAAGGTCATAAATCTATTTAGCAAATGAGAGTACGTTGATTCACTGGTGTGTGTAGCCTCGGACTTCGCCTTGCATGACGTGGAATAACGTGAAACATTCTTTTCACGTAACATTTATATTTATTTACAAACTGCACGAGCAGGAGACGTTGATGTAACAACTAACAAGAAATGTTCAAAAATAATTTCAAGTGTAAAACAAATCACGAGATGCAAGTTGAAATTGGTCACACGTGTCTTTTGTTGCTAATGTAAGACCGAAACGAAATTCGTTTTATGTGTTTTAGGATTCAGCCAGAAATAAGTTGAATTGGTCAAGGTCCTACATTTTGATCTATTCCAACAGCTGCGAGTATTTCAATGGGTCCACGTCCAATGCCTTTAGGGAATTGGAACATAGATTTGCTAACCCTAAAACTGAGTGAAATAAGGTTTGTAAACGAACTTTGTTCAGTGGCGTCACCAGTTTTGATGCGTTACGAAAGCGGTAGAGATGGTAGTCAAAAATAGACTGCACTATATAAAGAATCTATAGTTGTATCTTCAAAGATAGCTCATTATAATGTCTGTTTATTGTTTATAGAGGGGTTTCCCACAGTAATACAAACACTACAACCTTACAGAATCATATATTAGGTACATACATTATCTCTACTACGTCCATAGTCTGCCTTCAAGACTATTTTTAACGCAGACGCTTAGCAGTGTCTACACGTTGATGACCATTTTAAATATAGCCCGTACAAAGAACTCAAAATTCGTTACACAACTAATCACTCTATATTTAAATTATTATCTCATTTATTGTCAACGCTTTCGCTCTATTTCCATAACCCTCATAACTGCGATATGATTAAACTTTATCAGTATAATAAACTTGATTGTACTTTGCATAGAAATGCGTCATTTATGACAATGTTAACTTGCTTCTGCATTTGTTTAAGGACTAAATAAAGGGTAAAGACCACGTTGCCACGACACAACGAGCTGATAGATAGAACAAAGTTAAAGATATAAAAGTTGAACAGAATCACCATGGTATGAATCTAATAGCAGAGCAGCTTACCCCCGTGGTAAACAGGCGTAAAGTTATGTATGTAATTTGCTCTTTCACGCAAAGAATACTTAAGAAGATTCCCTAAAGGATTTGTGGCAGCTGAACATCGGGCTATTAAAGTATGTAGTAAAAGCTAATGTAGCTGAAAGGACCGACTTCCAAACAACACAGGCCCAAAAGCAGGCATTGCTGGAAAGGGAATCAGTGCAGATTTGTCTCCGTGAGAACACACGAAGTATCATGCAGTACTGTTGTGATTACATACATTTCGAAGATAAGATACAAATCTCATATATGTCATCATTTTTCCATTGCGAACATATACGATAATAGAACAATCATAATGGGTATCGTATCTTCAAACAATACATCATCTGATAAAGTGTGACGGTAACTGTGTGCAAATCATTATTCGCCGAAGTTAAATGAAAAGCATTTTAGACATATTTGATAATATTTTAGTTTTGATCAATTCTAAATTGGATCAGTGTATTTATTCATTTGAGAGCTTCATTTTAAGATTCCCGAATTCCTCCATGAACTTAGATGCTACCAAACAGAACTGATTGTTTTGGATCATATTCTTGTCTGTGGTTTTCTCTTTTACTTTTGTGTCATTGGAAACTATGTAATATTATTTCGTTGAAATTGACTAATACATATGTATTTAGATAATTATCAACAGACAGCATCACGTTAGTTATGAAAAATAACTAATCCACCTTGAATTCTGTTTTTACCGCTGTTTTTACGGGTATGTTGGTACAATTAGGAAACTGTTTCCAAATATAATGTAATGTCTATAAATGGAATATTATGTGTAAGTCAGTGTATATTCGTGAGGTGAGAGAATACACTCAAATCTATTCTTATATGAGAGTTAATATAGGATTTGTATTGTATTCGTTGTGTCGTGATTAGAGCATGGCCGTTTCGTATAACGTTATAGCTGGCCTGTGAGCCATGATGTACGAGTTTTATTGCTTTAACAGGAAAATACGAAGAAACAGTTCATCAAGATTTACATTTATGAATAAAAACAGATACACAGCTTAGCAACTAAGTACTAACTAAATTTAGACATACATTTACTTTGAGATAAAATGCATTATGGCGTTGAAATATTGCACTTGAAACAGTTTAGGTCAGGGTTTGATGCTCATATCATAAACCCGTATCGTCATACGCGTAGTGGATAATATGGCCATCAGAGCATTATATGCTGAGAATATAACATTTGCAAATAGCAAAGATGAATAACTAGAATGAAAGATTCACGGCATCGGCACTTTGTTGAACATTTCATAAAGACGTATTCAAAACAAATGACAGACAGAAATCCGGGAACATTTAATTCCATTGTCCATTGTCACTTGTGAAATTATCAGGTCTCCATAGCAGTCGTGAGAAGTGCCATTCAATTGTGTCCATTTGTTCGTCTTATTAAAGTTATTTAGTACTTATTTCTTTCGTTTTATACGAGAGGAAGTTGTTTTTCATGCTGTAGGTATCTTGTTTGTGATCTGGGGTCAAATACCCTTGGAGGAAATGTTTCTTGTATTTCTAAGAACAGCAAACTGCGGTTTCAAAATTCCCTTTACCCAGACTGTGACGTCATTTGGTATAACGACTGGTATTTGCAGACTAGTTTCGATCCAATTAAAGTTAAAAATATTGTTATGTTTGAAGTTTGAAGAGTTCTACTTATTGGATTAGGCACATCTGTCAGTTAATTAGATTTCGAACCGTATTAGTTTGTGATAAAATTGAATTTTTTGTGACAGTAGCTTGATGTGTATATTTGTTTATATGCCACCCGGCCCTGTACATAACTTGTACTTTTTTATTATGTAATTTTCCACAGCTGATGTTACTGAGAAACTCTAATAACAATACACAGTCTAGTGCCCTCGAATATCATATAAATGCCGTCATTTATATATTTACATGGAAATATGAATACTGATTATAATTATTCTAATACTTGGGTACATTAGTTGATAAAAAAACCCGAGATGACTAAGTATTTATTGTGTGATTATGTTGGTACCTTCCGTACATACATACCTTCTCACTTTGATCACGAACTTAAGTGCTAATTAGGTACGTTATTTGTAAATGACCTAGATGCATAAAATATTTGAAATTAACTTGAATTTACGCAATGTTTCGTGTAGAAAGATTACCTCATCTTCTAAGGAAATGATTGTCATCAATAAGGTTCATAATTGAATGTATAATTAGCACCTGATTCATCATCACGTGTTATAAACTAGTAATACATGTAAATACTGGAAACTCCGATCGCGTAATTAAATATTAAAGAATGCCTTTATAAAGATACAGAAAAAATAATTTTATCATCGTATCTGTAACATGGGTATGAGCTGTTGTGGCAATTGCCAAGAACCAAATCCAGCCCCTATGAGGAGTTTCAGATAATATCATTAATCAAAAATATGCCAGTAGCAATAAAACATACATTTTACGACTGTTAGGCATACATTTTTATCTAGACGAATTTGAAGTTCCGTGTCAGCAACTGAGAATGTCAAAACACAGTAATTACAATTTTAACGCAAAGTGTCAAGGTGTAATTTGATTCGTCAAGTATTTTCACGTAGCGTGATGTAAGAGATAGTGGCGCCCGTCACCTTGGCGGAATACCAAACGTCTGTCTGTCTGTATACGCAAACGTATGTAATTTATAGTTCTGGAGTCTGTCTGTACTGCGGAATGTTTCAATGTACCTGCCAGTTGAAACGAACTAACATTTTATTAGAGTCTCGTGACTTCATACAAAAACTAAAAGCTTGAAAATTTCCGTCTAGACTGGTGACACAAAAATATTCGAGTAAAATACACATTTCAAAGTACACATAGAGACAAAAAGTTTGAAACAAAAACTTCGCAACCAATTTCAAATGCATCTCTTGTCAATTATATCTTAAAGCTATATTTTAACTTAATAATCTTATATCAATATCTCCGCAATGACACTGAAATAGAGGGTACATATAAACTCGTGTTATTCAAATTGACCATAAAATAGGTCGATAGTAAAAT